ATCTGTTCAACGGATTCTACACAGATTGGGTTATCGTTGCAGAGCAGCTAGACGGAAGCCCTTATTAAGACCAGCCAACATAGTCAGACGAAAGAAGTGGGTAAGTGATATGATGACCAAACCTCTGGACTTTTTGGAAGACCGTATTGTTCTCAGACGAATCAAGATTCGCCCAATTTTCGGACAGTGGAAGAATATGGGTCTGTAGAATGCCTCACCAAGAGTTTTGGCTCAACAGATTGCAGCCAATTGTAAAGCATGGTGGTTTAAGCGTGATGGTTTGGGGAGCTGTTTGGGTTGGTGGGAGATCGAGCTTAGTGGAGTGCGTTGGCAACATAAATTTTGCGAAATATGTCGAAATATTGGAGGAAGGACTCTTGCCACTTTATTCCTCGGGTTTCGTGGACAAGAACACAACGATGTTCCAGGAAGATGGAGCACCGTGTCACACTGCTAGAAACACACAAAAGTGGCAGGAAGAAAATGGTATACAGAAGTTACCCTGGCCGAGCCAATCTCCTGACAAGAACCCCATCAAAAACCTCTGAGCCATACTCGACCGGCAAGTCAAGAAACAACCGCTCTTCGAAGTTGGTTTTTTTTCTCTACTCCAAGTTTTGAAGCAAGAGTGGGCGAAAATCCCACAATCTAAAATTGACAAGATGATTCTCACGATGCCCCAAAGGAACTCCACGAAGCGAAAGGAAGATCTACTAGATATTAATTAAATTATAAATATGTCAATTCATGTGAATATGACTGAAAATTTTCATTTTTTCTAAAAAGGTGGTGTCTATTTACATGTGACCATGCTGTGTACTTTCATCCAGTTTGGTTCGTGGTGAAAATTCCGTTTCTTACTGCAGACGCCTTTCATGTTATCAGGTTTTGCATGTGATATTTCAAAGGAGCTTTCGGTTTCGACCTGATTTAACTACTGTTTTCGGTTTCGATCTCATTTAACTACTATTTTTGACTTCGAACTGTTTTGATTAGAGTTTTCGGATTATAAACTATTTTTTTAACATATCTAGGGCTAACGCTAGCCAACCACGAGAGAAGGTTAAACGATAAATGAAAATATATTACTATGTTTGCTTTAGAAATGCTCGAGCCTAACATGTTTCGATCTTTCTCCTCTTTTATCTTGCTTGTCGAAATGACGAAAACTTTCCTACTGAATGTTTTACAAAGCAACCTGAAGCCTCATATATTATGTAGACCAGTTATCAAGACGGTAAAGAACCGAAAAGAAGTGTTCACGTGTTCTTGTTCTATTTCTCTAAGGTTTAATTCAAATTAATGGATGTCAGCGGAGTACCACTGCGCAGAGAGTGTGCTGGGGGAGCAAGAAACGAACGGCATGCCTTCTAAAGAAGTGAGATTATATACACGAAGTACAAATCCTTATTTTAACTCCACCAAATGTAATTCTAGGTAACATCATGGAGTCACAATATGGGTTTGTAGTTTGAGGTATATCTTAAACATATGATAACTTTATATCTTACAAGATAAATAATGTGATTTTTAAAACCTGCAAATAGGGATCGTAAAAAAGGTAAAGAAACAAGGCTGGAGATACTGTAGACATAATTTAATCTGATATCATTATGGGAAATATATTGTTTATAATATTCTAAAGTCATTAACGTTTATTGAACAATTATCCAGGATGTTCAATTTTTTCTTTTACATTCATAATTGTACATTATAAAACATTAAAATACGCTAATAATATGTTCTACTGTATAATGTGGGGATGAAACTCCTTCTGTCGCCTTGTTTCGTCACATAGTTCAGGATAATTGGTATACTCAGAATTCTTCTCCTGCTGTAATTCATCACTACTTTCGTTAAATTATTCTTAAACTGTAATCGAGAGATTACAGCTATAGTTCTCTTTCCATGTTAATGGCCGTAGTGTAATAATGATATATGTATGTATATACAGACTCATAGAACTGTGGAATAGCTTCTTCTGAAGGCAGTTTGCTCATTAGTTCTAGATGCCCCCACTAGAGGACAGTAAAATATCTAAATTTGTGTACTTTTTATGTAGCCTACCCCCCAGTGACAGAGCGGTGTCTGCGGATTTACAACGCTAGAGACCGGGTTTCAATACCCGTGGTAGGCAGATCACAGATACTCCATTGTGTAGCTTTGTGCTTACTTTTAAACAAACAAACAAAAGTGTCCTATATAGACACCAGTTTCTATATTATACACAGCTTTCTGTCTTACATCAACGTAAATTTATATCTTACGTGCAGATGAAAGCTTTGAATGTTCTAACATCAATAGAACACGTTAGGCTTGAGAACTTTAATGGACAGCAAGTGCTTACTGAAAGAAAAGACGACGACGTTTCGGCTTCTATGCTGAGGGCTTCTTCAGACTATTTAGGCCTGAAGAAGGCCTCAGCATAGCAGCCGAAACGTCGTCTCCTTTTTTTTCAGAAAGGCAGTTGCAGTTCATTGAAGTTCTCAAATCTACAACATCAGCTTATATCTGATAAATATGACACTTGGTATCTTATATGAACACTAATCTTTGTATTACACACGTCAAATTTATATCTTATGTCGACTCTAGCGGTGTTTGTTTCTAAAGAATGAATCCGGGATGTCATTACATGAAGTTACATTGTTTAGTGATCACCACTCGTGATCACCACTTGGTGTTTGTTTCTAAAGAATCCGGGATGTCATTACATGAATTACATTGTTTAGTGATCACCACTCGGTGTTTGTTTCTAAAGAATCCGGGATGTCATTACATGAATTACATTGTTTAGTGATCACCACTCGGTGTTTGTTTCTAAAAGGGTGTACTAAGACATTTGAACAAGACTGTCATGAAAAAGAGGGTTTACTAAGACATTTGAACAAGACTGTCATGTTCAAAGCACACTAATGCTATTTCCTTCTCCAGCTGCTTGGGGTATGCTACGGCTTAAAATAGAATATATTATTAGATGCGTAGTCTTGGTGAAGTCATATTATGTTGGCTTCCTCTCCAGACAGATGTATTTCTTGATTATATTGCGCACTATTACCTGGGGCACGTGGAAAGATCTTGCCACTGACCTCTGTGTTCTTGAATTTCCATCTCTTACAGCACGGCATGGCCAGGTGGTTAGGGCGCTCGACTAGCAATATGCTGGTCACGGGTTCGAATCCCCGTCACACCAAACATGCTTACCCTTTCAGCCGTGGGGGCGTTATAATGTGACAGTCAATCCCACTATTCGTTGATAAAAGAGTAGCCCAAGAGTTGGCGGTGGGTGGTGATGACTAGCTGCATTTCCTCTAGTCTTACACTGCTAAATTAGGGACGGCTAGCGCAGATAGCCCTCGTGTAGCTTTGCGCGAAATTCAACAAACAAACAAACAAATCATCTCTTACAAGACCCCTCATTTTGTAGGTCTCTATCTAGATGGTCATTGTACCCCAATCTGATCCACATTCCTTTGTTTTTTAATGCGATCAAGTAAAAGAGATATTCCAATTTGTTAATTCTAAATCTCTGATCTGAACAAAACTTAATGATCGTAGTATGGGAATATAACATACACAAACTTACATTACTTCTAATACAGTTTTACGATTGAGGAGTTTGGGAATGGTTCTCGTCACTTCAATAATCTCTTCGAAATTCTTCGAGCAATAATATAAATCAGTTCGATTTAAATACCACTTGTACTGTCTTTTCGTGCTCGCATCATTTCCATACTTCCACCCTCTTTCCTCCAGTCTTCCAGTTAATCTCTATTCCATATTTTCATTTTCCTTCGGTCTATATGCTATTTACTTGACGACGTCATTCGGAGATCTTACTATGTTGACCAAGGGATGGGCCCGGAACATAGGTCGATGTCAGATGAATCTCTCAGAGGTTATATCCATCTTGTTTGGACAAAACCTGTTTTCAGTCTTCACTGTTGCTGGGCAACCAGGCAAGCCTATAAACCTTGTTAAATGACATCATACTTCCCAGTTCGATTTTTCAGAATACGCTGTACTCGGAATGTTATATTTTATTATAAGTTAACAGTTTTGAAATATTTTGCTCCTATAAAATTTTACGGATTAATATCAATATTCAAAATAAATCACTCCCCTTTTCGTGTGGATATAAGGAGCGTTAGGCTATAGATTTGAAGCCATTTATTTTTATCATATCGGGTGGGCGTGGCCCAGTATTAGCTGGCCAGACTGGGAATCCGAGAATCTACGATTTGCGTCCATTTTACTGCAACATCTTCCTCTGTATATTTGAGCTGTGGGTGTGTTATAAGAGTGATGGTCAAGTTCCAGTAGTCGATTAAAATCGCACAAAAGTTAGCGTTGGACGCTGTTGATTAGCTGTCTTCCCATTAGGCTATCAATACAAAGTTAGGAACGCTAGAACAGACAGCCAATTGTGTAGCTTTGTGCGGATATCTGAGAGAAACCAACGTTTTGATTTTGATGAATATGAAAAACAACCAATGATATCCCCCCCCCCTATTTTTGTCTTGGAGCTGGCCAAAGGCGATTTTAGAGGAGCCTGACCTCTGTGTGCCCCCTCTCTCGGTTTATACATGAATCCCATTGGAAATTTTAGGTTTAAGATTCTTCATCGTTTTTAGGGTTAAAAGAAACCCTAAGTGAAGCACTGTTGCCCGGGTCTTAGATAAGAACTGAAAAGAACCGTTTTCAATAATAAAATACAAGTTGAAACAACTTGTATTGAATATTTAATTATAGATAAATGTATTACATTTGTTGTATCTTTTTGATTTAGTGAATATAAAAGTTTTTATTCCACGTTGCTGTTGAAGTAACTAGAAGGTGTAGATTAGGAGACAGGAAAAAAAGCTTCCATGTTTCTTCTGGATATAACCTTTATAATTTATTTAGTGAAAAAAAAAAAGGTTAATCCTTTGTAGTTCTGGGTTTCCTAAATAAACTGACTTAGTAATAGATTTTCTGTCTTGTTTTTCTCCTGCCTGTAGCAATCTCTAAAGAGGAGATTATTCCGGAGTTTGATCACGAAAATGAGGTAAGTTCGTTTATTTCCTATTCATTTAATGACATTTTATCATAGAGGGGTCTTTAATGAAGTGCTCACTAGACTGGTAAATATGTTATTTGATTAATGTTTGGTCAACATCGTGTTGTCTTTAACACAGTTGAAAATTAAACAAAAGAAGCGGGTGGTTAAAGATATGTGGAGTGACGTAAGGAGTTAGGCTCTTGTTTGTCTTCAACACTGTCGTCATTATTACGTAGAGTTGCCTAGATGCCGAATTTAATAATAGTTATTACTTGATTGTGTTTAATTATATTAAATGTTGGAAAGACATCAAGTTATAGAATATATATACAGTTTTTGATTGAAATTGTTTTTATTATAACGGGAACAAGATTGTACATTTCTGGTATTTTCTCGTGTTTTAGTTGTTTTTCATTCTATACATAAAATAATGAGCCTTGCTCTTTACCAACCCTAAAAAACCTTTTTCAAAATATCAGCAACAGTTTTATTTTATCTCTGGTCCAATAGGTTTTATGGACTTTCTCTACCTTTTCTTGTTTTGTGCAAGGTTATTGGTTGGATTTAAATTGGGAGACATAAAGTGAACCATTGATCAATAATGATAACCGGATTTAAAAGAACGATGTTCACAAATTATAGCAATGTGTTGAATTTTCAGCCATATATTTTGTATCCTTTGCTGTTTTGAACAATATTATGTCTGTTGCCGTTAACCGTATTCACCACATTGTTTGACATTCCGTGTCAGTTTCAACCAACGTGTACTAGCGGTTATCCTATATCTGTTGCCAGTTAACAATGTTGGTTACATTGTTTCGACTCCTCGTGTCTATTGCTGTTCAACGGTGTTGGCCATACTATTTCAATATATTCTCCAAAACTATCACACACATTGTTAAAAAAAAACAGGTGTTGTTTCATCGTTTTGGCCGTTTTTTGTGAAAATCGTGAGTTTGAAAACTGGTTTCATATTGAGAGTTGGCCGAGTCTGATTGCCAAGTCGTTGATATTAGTGGGAACACAATTGGAGTATGCTTTTGTTATAATGTTTTCTTAATCTTCAAACAACAGTTCGATTTGGCAGAAACCCCTGTCACTTCACGCCGTGCGTTAAACTGTTTTCAACGTTTTATCATATATACATTTTTGATTTTGTTTCAGAAATGTTCGTATTCTTTTTTAAATAAGTTTATGCGCTCAATGTACAAATAAAGTCAGTGCTTTTAGTGTTTTTTTCGTATATTTTAAAATTATTTTTTTGCAGAAGCTCTAAGAGAGGACGCTGTCGTATGTGGCACATAATAAGCATTATTAAGCCTTGAATTACCGACTTGTTTTTGTAATCTGAGGTTCACATGTTTAGGGCATAAATAGTTTCGAAAATGTTATTTTTAAAGAGCTGATTTGAGTTTTGACGACATTGGTAATTTTTGGGTTAAGACAGTTTAGCAATAATTCTGTTGAAAGCTGCCAAGTCGTTTGTGAAATAGCGCCGTCTACTGTTTTCAGATTTTATTCGAGTTTTTATTTCTTTTTAACAAACTTTGAAAAGTGAATTAATAACATACTGTTGTTGTTATTGTTCTTCTGTCTATTATCTTACTTTGTCCTAGATATATTATTTAATCCTTACTGCATCCAGTAATTAAACTTTCAGTGTTTCAAGGAAATTGGTACTCAAATGTCCTTACATAACTTATACTAATTTTATAAAATAGGTGGCACTGCAGTCATATTCCACAGGCGCACACGTGCATGGCACACACTCACATTTTTCTCGGTATAGTGTATACCAAATTAAATTTATGTGGATTCCTGCTTCTTTAAAAAGAAAACAAATAAATTTGGTTGGAAACATTTATCATAAGTTACGTGTGTGCGCATGTTAATGCAGATGCTACAGAATTTGATGCTCTAGCTGTTCTAATTTTAAACGATGGATGTGCTAAAAAATGTCAAACAGACGTCATTAAATTTATAGTTTGTATATAGCAGTTTAGTGTAGCTTTGCGCGAAAAATTATAATATGAAGGAAACAGAACATCGCTTTTTTATTTTTTATCTCAAATAATTAGGCCTAAAAATATTAGTGTTGTACAAGTAGGACAAAATAATACAGAGATTGAATGTGCTGTATTAAAACGATTTTGTAGACTCGCTACGTCCGTTCGTGCTTTATATGACAACCCAGCATAGTTTCATTGAAAAAGGCTCCATTGTAAAGCTACCATGTCTGAACATGTCACACCTCCTTGCAGACTTTCCATAATCCACCTGGTGTACACCCGTTTCAATAATCCTATTGCACAGACATACATTGGCGCTTCCACCGGAGTCTTGACCGATAGTGGAATAGCGTGAATACCTTATTAATTCACCAACTGTTAATGCTATGTGAAAGTTAAACGAATATGTTATGGAAGCAACATGAGCACACGTGACTTGTATCGCTTTTCCAGAAGGAGATCCTTCTTGAGTATATTGAGTGATGTAGCCTCGATCACGTGAACGACTTTTGGAATTAATCTCTTGTGTTTGTAGATTCTCATCTTTTACACTTTTCTTACTACAACTGGGGTACGACTTTTTGTAGCTCTCTTTTTGATTGGTCTCGGTGCCCCAAGTTGATCCATGTTCCTTTCTTTTCCAGTGTCTTTAAGTACTGAACACATCTTTATGATGTGAGTGTATGAGTATTCTGCGTCGGAAAGGGCTGCTACAAATTTGTAGGATCTAAAACTACCCATCATCATCTGCACTCAATGTTTTAGAAAGGTAGATGTGCCTAATATAACAAAAGTAAAAACAAATGGGTTGGTAAAGACAGGTTGCTAGTATGACTTAACTTTCTCTTTAGCCTTCAGGTTACCGATTTGTTTATATACCGCTCGTTACCGGTAGGGTCCATATGTTGCATCTTAATGACATTCGGTACACATTCTGTCATCGCAATCCATTAACACTTCTCTTGTGAACAACTTCAGTCAGTCAGCTTATTACTTTAATGTCAGTCAGCTGAGTAATTCAGTGTCATTTACCTGGTTAATTGAGCGTCAGTCAACTAAGTACCTTAGTGTCAGTCAGCTGAGTATTATTAGTCAACTGAGTAATTCAGTGTCAGTCAGTGGTTAACGTGCTAGGACCGTGAATAGTTCATGGCATAAAAAACGCACTCCGCATTTTGGGGCAGTGGTGCGCTATAAGAATGACAGTCAAATTCCATTATTCGATCAGACCAGAGTAACCCAAGAGTTGGCTGTGGATGCTAACAATAAAGACTTCTTCTTTACCTCCAAAAAATGCTTCTCCTATGAGATGGATGAATATATTCTTTTTTAGATCCGTATATTTAAACCGTAACTTTAAATAGTTTACGTAATTGTATTCCTAACTGAGAAACAAGAAAGGGAGAATTCTTGAAAATTATTGTAATTAACAGAAACACCTCGAAAAAACTTCATTTATCAATCACTACAGCTGGATTTCTGGTCAGTTTAACCACGTGCTTACAAGTATGTTTGATAAACCAATTAACAGCTGGCGAGGTCCACTTATTAAAAGTAATTTACGTTTTACTTGTTATAATTCTGACCAATGTGGGTGACGTCGCTTATCTTCTAAACAACGTACGTAAGGGACACAACTAGTAATTTCAGTACTGGTGATATTTTTCTTCTTACTTTGTGTGTGACTCGTGTTACTAAGGGCTTTGTAACTACAAAGTTGTGGACCAACAAACAACTTTATGCATTAGTATGTTCAAAAAGTCAACCTCACTGTACTTTTAGGGTTAACCTGCAAGTTTATTTATTAACCTAGGCACTTGGTTGAAAAAACAGTATATGATAATGAGATAAGGGCTGTCTCTGTCAATTTCGTCTTCTAACCTAGTGTTTAACTCACGATTTTGTTTTTCCCAGGATGCACATTCTAAAGTTAACCCAATTCATCGGTTTTGATTTATAGGCTGTTGTTAGGCTTAGTTCAGTGATGTTGCAAACAATATCGTCCAGTAAGCCAATCTGAGTTTATAATCAACTGTACTCGTGTTCTTAAAATTAGTTTTACTTTTTTGTTTTTGTAAAATGCAAAAATCAACAGGATCACTTTCGTTGGAGGGTTCGATAAGCCTATTCTATATTAACTACAGGGTGATCTAAATAAGAAAGTTATGTATATACTGTTCACGTATACTCTTATATTGATTAGAAACACGAGGGGCCTGGTGTAGCACGTTGGTTGGAGCAGTCGACTCCCAATTTTCTGGTCGCGGGATCGAATCCCGTAACTGAACATGCTCACCCTATCAGCCGTGGAGGCATTATAATGTGACAGTTAATCCCACTATTCGTTGGCAAAAGAGTAGCACAAGAATAGGTGGTGGTTGGTGTTGACTAACTGTCTTCTCTCTAGTCTCACTTCAAAATTAGGGACGACCAGCGCAGATATTCCAAGAGTAGTTTCGCAGGAGTTCATAAACAGGCATAAATGTAAGAAAGAAAGTAGATTTTTCTCAGAGCAACTAACTTTTGAATCACCGTGTATATGAGAACGGTGTTTGTGTCATTAGTATGTAGCGTTTCGGATAGAAAGTTAAAAAATAAACAAACTACAAGTCGGATTCACTGTGATATGTTTTCTATGTAATTTGAACTTGTGCATGAGTTGATATAGTCAGAAAAAACTTGAAATACAAAGTTGAGTACTGCTGTTTGTGGCGCATTATATCAGTCTAGAGTGAAATTTAGATTTTTTTTAAAGTAATAAAAATACTTCATCAAGAGACTGTAACATTGTGCACTTACAGAGAGGAGGGGATCGTTGGATCCCCTCCTGTGTTTTCTATATTGTTTAGAGAATATGCCAAAGTAACTGTAATTTAGTTTGGAAAATATAGTAGTTCGTGACCTTAGCTTAGAGTATACTTACCTCTCGAGAGATGAATATTTTATGGCAGAACAAATGTCTCTGTCATCTTGAATTACCGGTGTTCTTGAAATATC